TTTGTGCCCACATTGATCCACGGACCAGTACTCCCTTTGCACTCGCATTGGCAACACAGTCAAACAAACACAGCAGTCTACTGTGAAACCCACCGCAGCATGGTGACTGATTCGCTTGTATTGGCATTGATGGGCACCTGGACCTGAAAAAACTACCAGTTGGAACTATCTGTCAGCCCCCAGCTACTCTGTTCTCATTGTTCTGGCAAGTTGTTCTGTTGCTGCCAGGCAGCCTGGCTGCTTTAGGTGGTTGCGCTGGCTGCTAGCTGCAGCACCACTGCTAGCCACTAGCCTGTCAGCTCCCAGCAGCTCTGTCTTTATCGTCTCGGGTAGCAGAGCTGGTGCTGCGGAACTGGCAGCAGCACTATCAGCAGCAGCCTGAGCTTCTCTCTGTTGCATTTCCTCAGCAGTGGACTGTGGCTCACACAAATCTGCATAGACTCTGACAGCATGTTATAAAATGTGAAGTAATCCATACAAAACACTGTGCATGTATAACTGGAAGTTGACTGATCTCAGCCAATTTCTTCCTGTGATGTCAGGATATAAATGAATGGTGAAACTTGCTACAGTGATACAGAGAACATCTGCAAGTAGTCCCTGTGACTAAAACATGGCAAAAACTGTCAAGTATCAGCAAAGTGCTCCTTTACACATAAAAAAGGTTGCGTTTTTGTCAATATAAGAAGCCACAATCGAGCTGACTTGGCAGTAACTTCTGTACCTCAGACAAGGCTGCGACTGCAGAGTGATTTTTCCTTCCAGACATACCAGGAGCAGCACACAGCTGTATGGTTCACCAGCATATGGATTAAATAAATACAGTCTGCACAGAGCTTGTTAACACTTGTTCACTTGGCTACAACACACTGTTGTAGCCAAACCGAACAAAAAAACACACACCCACATCTGCACACACCCAGACAAAGGCACACGCGCAAGCTGCATGCGCACAAACACAAACAGGTAGCCTCACACACAATCAAACATCATTAAAGAGTACATTTTGTAGGTGAAGGGTGTAGCATGGGTTCTTCTGGGAGCATGTAGTAACACATACACAGATCTAATGGCTCGGGAAGCACACAAAAACATGCACATAGACAAATGTATACAGACCATGGGGAAAAGTTTTTGATTAGCACCAAGTAGCGTGTGTGTTAGTAATTAAAAACTAATTTACAAGACTCAGGCAAGTGTGTGTGTGTGTGTGCGTGTTTGACTGCTAGCTAGGTACCATACCTAGGCTTTTTTTTTTTCAGCATTACTTAATTGTGTTAAAGTCTCACACACACACACACACACACACACACACTTGGAATGTAATCCTGTGGTATAATAACACTGAAATACTGAACCACTAGTAGGGTCTGGTCTCCCTGTAGCTATGTGGTCAGTCGCTAACCTAATCTGATTAATGGATTTCAACCCCAACTCTACTCTCCCAAACACAGGAACCGACAGAGAGGAAGATAAATTGGTAGAATCTATGAAAACTAGGTTGGGTCCATTGCCCCTGCTTTGCCTAGTTACCGTTCTTAATCTGATTAATGGATTTTTCCCCAGAAAACCTGGACTGAAAAGCACCCTTGAAACCAGCTGTGGAAAATGTACACGCAAAGAAGCCAACAAATGCCAGTCGCATTTGGCTGTATGAAGTTGTCTCCATAGACAAAGTGCATTAACAGGTGGATGGGAGAAGAGAATTTCAGAGGCGTTTAAGTGAAAACCCACTATTCTTTGACGTTCCTGCTGCTGTAAAAGCAGCATCGAAAGATACGCAGCGCTCAACCTAAACATCTGATCGTTTCCCACAGTTGAACATGTGTCATGGCAACTGTCCAATTCTAAATATTAAATTAAATGTATGTACTACAATCAAAGTATCTTTCTGTTCTATTCACTATGGGTCTGGAAAATGAATTGTATGGTGTATTTCATTTTGCTGGGCGCAATCCTGTCAAACCGTCGTGGTCGTGGTCGTCTCATGCTGCCAGAATTGAATTTGCTTGAAATTTTTTCCTTACATGCCGCGCAGTAACTACTGACAACCACTGACAACTACAATGGATGAGAGAGTGATCCTTGCTGTTTGTGAGTTTCCTGAACTGTTTTGTAACAGTTATCAGGACATTAACAGGAGGGCCTTTGCATGTAAGAGCATTGGCACAGACTGCAAGTATCAGGAAACGTCAGTTTTAAATTTAGGCTAGGCTATAAAGTTATGACTATGCTAATTTAACTAACTTTAGCTATCAATAATGACGGTTGCTGGTTGGCATCAAAAACAAGATTGCTACCAACTGTCAATAGTGCACAGATGTGTCCATGGTTTACACATGTAGAAGGCCCAGTGTTTGCTTACTGATCGCTTGTCTGTCTGTCTATTCACTTGAGGAGTGCAGTGAGATCCCGCGGATCTGAGCGGGTACGCAGGCGGAGAGTCGCGCCCCGTCTGAAAAGACCCTTAGTGTTGACATTTCATGATGCCAGCAAAGCACTTAATTAACTTATCTATCCTATAAGACACACCATAAGCTGGAGGGTAAAATTGGCAATAAGCTACAGCAACGTTACACTGACTGATTATTAATCACAGAGCTAATCAAAAGCAAAGCTGGATAGACTGTGCTGAGTGTCGGCGCAGTCAGCACAACACCATCGCTCCATGGACTTCGCCCAAGATTAACAGGAACGTGGAACAAGGTAACGTCATTCATCATTAATTTGGCGTAAGTCTGAAAACTAGACATCCTAAAATAAAGCTGTTGTTGGGCCTCCTATGCACCGATACAAACATATGACACACTGTGCCATGCACCATATAGTGATGATGCACTGCGTTATGGTCTGCTGCCTCAATTTACTAATAGGTACAATTAACTGTAATGAAAGAACGTAAACAGACACTGTACACAGAAACCCATGGAGGGAATAAGACACACACACACACACACACACACATCTGTCACTTTGATCTTTGATTGATTCTGTGCCCTTTAAACAAGTCGATCATTAACAAACCAACAAATTAAGTCATTAATTGCCATGACAGCTGGTGACACCTCCTTTATTAATCTTTGTCTGCATAATTAATACAGCTTAATTGGAATTAATTACAATTAATTGTTGTTTGGGATTTGGGGGACAAGGAGAGAAACCTGCTGAGTGCGTGCATGTGTGTGCGTGTAGGAGGGCCAGAGGTTTAATGCCCTCTGTACAGAATGATGAATGGGTATTTGTTGCTGTCCCAAACACAGACACACATAAAGAAGGAAACACTGACACAAAAACCTGTGTG